TGTGACAGTCTGAGGCCCTGTTCTTAGGCTAAGGCCTTTGGCTAAGCGACAGAGGCAGCCATAAGCTGGGAAGTGAATGGTCACATCCTCACATTCCAAACTAGTCACATTGAAATAAGGTGCTATTGGGCTGTTAGGAATTTAATCCTGTCCTTATAGTGCCTATCACCTCCAGAGAAAGGGAAGTGCCTAGAAGCTGTAAAAGGAAATTGAGGTTGATAGTTTTCTGTCTGGTAAGAACTCACTTATCAATAGACACAGCTGGGAAACTCTTATGTCTTTACAGATGTAGTTGTGAAATCCTCACTTCTGTATTGTTTTGTCATTATAGTTCCCACTTTGCTATTGTTTATTGGCATGGTCTCTGTCTGGTTCTGTGATTGCTTCTGTCTGCTGTATAATTAATTTTGCTGGGTGTAAACTAATTAAGGTGGTGGGATATAATTGGTTAGCTAATCCATGTTAGGATTGGTTAGTTAAATTTTAGTAGAATGATTGGTTAAGGGATAGCTAAGAATATTACTATATAAATTAGGGGCAAACAGGAAGTAAGTTGGGATTCGAAAATAAGGAAAAAGGAACTTGTATTTAGCTTGCTGGAAGTTCACCCCAATAAACATCGAATTGTTTGCACCTTCGGACTTCGGGTATTGTTGCTCTCTGTTCATGCGAGAAGAACCAGGGAAGTGGGAGAGTGAAGGAATAAGCTCTCTAACACAACGCTTCCTCAGCTCTTGTCCCCTAACACCCCTACTCTACTTGCGCTACATTGATGACATCTTCATCATCTGGACCAATGGAAAAGAAGCCCTTGAGGAATTCCACCATGATTTCAACAATTTCCATCCCACCATCAACCTCAGCCTGGACCAGTCCACACGAGAGATCCACTTCCTGGACATGACAGTGCTAATAAGCGATGGCCACATAACCACCACCCTATACCGGAAAACTACTGACCGCTATACTTACCTACATGCCTCCAGCTTTCATCCAGACCACATCACACGATCCATTGTCTAAAGCCAAGCTCTAAGATACAACCGCATTTGCTCCAATCCCTCAGACAGAGACAAACACCTACAAGATCTCTATCAAGCATTCTTAAAACTACAATACCCACCTGCTGAAGTGAAGAAACAGATTGACAGAGCCAGAAGAATACCCAGAAGTCACCTACTCCAGGACAGGCCCAACAGAAAGCCACTAGCAGTCACCTTCAGCCCCCAATTTAAACCTCTCCAGCACATCAAGGATCTACAACCGATCCTGCAGGATGATTCCTCACTCACAGATCTTGGAAGACAGGCCAGTCCTCACTTACAGACAGCCCCCCAACCTGAAGCAAATACTCACCAGCAACCACACCCCACACAACAAAAACACTAACCCAGGAACCTATCCTTGCAACAAAGCCTATTGCCAACTGTGTCCACATATCTATTCAAGGGACACCATCATAGGACCTAATCACATAAGTCACACCATAAGAGGCTTATTCACCTGCACATCTACCAATGTGATACATGCCATCATGTGCCAACAATGCCCCTCTGCCATGTACATTGGCCAAACCGGACAATCTCTACACAAAAGAATAAGTGAACACAAATTAGACATCAAGAATTATAACATTCAAAAACCAGTTGGAGAACACTTCAACCTCCCTGATCACTCAATTTCAGACCTAAAAGTCGCAATTCTCCAACAAACAAACTTTCAAAAACAGACTCCAAGGAGAGACTGCAGAAATCGGAATTAATTTGCAAATGGGACACCATTAAATTAGGCTTGAATAAAGCCTGGGAGTGGATGGGTCATTACATAAAGTAAAAACTATTTCCCCATGCTAATTTCCCCCCACCCCTACTATTATTCACACCTTCTTGTCAACTGTTTGAAATGGGCCATCCTGATTATCACTACAAAAGGTTTTTTTCCCTCCTGCTGATAATAGCCCACCTTAATTAATTGGTCTTGTTACAGTTGCTATGGCAACACCCATTTTTTCATGTTCTTTGTGTATATATATCTTCCTACTGTATTTTCCACTGCATGCATCTGATGAAGTGGGTTTTAGCCCACGAAAGCTTATGCCCAAATATATTTGTTAGTCTCTAAGGTGCCACAAGTACTCCTAGTTTTTTTTTTTAAATTATATGTAAGGTTATGCATTCCCTGTATTTGAGGATGGTAGCATGTGTTCAAACCCACACAGCCCTGACTAGGCAGAAGTTGTTAAACAGATCCGTCCTAAACAAAGAAATGTTTGCTTAGCTCAATTTACATACAAGTAGTAAAAAAGGTCCTCAAGACTGCAAGGCAGATAAACTGGTTTTTCCAAAGATAAAGGACAAGCTGATGCCTCTGGCCAGATTAATTGGCAATCACCAGTCCATCGGCCTTTTTTTGACAGCAAAAGGGAGCAGGAACAGCTCAATCTGCATTTTAGCAAGGAACAGCGTGGAACCTCTTTCACCACAAGACTCCATGTCTCCGTCCACACAGTGGGAAGGAACTTTATCTAATGGTAACCCAGAGGAAAATGCATTTCAAAGGGGCACTGGACTATAAAACTCAGGGGTAAAAACACCCCAGGATTTCTCTCTTTTTCATTCGCCTAAGACAACAAAGAAACCAGCCCTTTGACTTTGGGGTGGACCTGATCTGAGAATTTGGTCAGCCATGTTGCTGGGCATCTGTGGTAAGGATTTTTAAAAAACTAGATTTGGTTCAAGGTAAGATTAGCTACTAGAAAGAGTCTTATCTTTATTTCTCTTCTAACCATTTCTGGCTTTAATGCTGGATACTTGTACTCACTTAAAATCTCTTTGTAGTTAAACTTGTTTTATTTTTTAATCAAAAAACTAATCCAGCATTGAGTTTAAACTGAGCTGTTTGAGTAACTCCAGGTGAAGTAGGAAACTGTTGCATATTGACCCTTTAGAGGGGCAACGGACCTCTAATATTTGAACTGCCCAGGAGAAGGCTGGACAATGCAGAACACATTTTGGGGAAAATTCAGGATTGGGAGTGTGTTGGAGTCACCCTTCAAGTTGTAACCAAGGCTGGTGGAAGCCAGGGTGTGGTTGGAGTGTTGCTGAACAGCTGCTGGAGTTAGAGATGTTGGACTAGGGCTGCAGCTATACACAGCCATTCAGGGTGTGACCTGCATGCAGTCTGGCTGTTTGTGAGTGGCCCCCTTTGGGAGCTACAACAGCAAAGCATTGGGAGGCACCCAGAGTTGCAGGTGGTGACAACCCCTCACTGGTGTGTATTGCACCCCAAAATGTGACACACATATTCACATTTGCCCTGCATTAGCTCATCTTCTTTCTCCATCTCCTCCCTTTTCCTTAAAGATCTATGTCACTGCATTGCAAAAGAGAACATTAGACAGGGGGTAGACCCTGGGTTCCCCTCTTTCCTCTTGGTTCCAGCCCAGCAACACTGTAGCAAGCAGGCAAGTTCTGCTCCCTTGGACTCTACTGCCTTCCTGGGCTTCTTCCTATCTCAGCCTGCCTATAGGCCTTCTCCATAGCCCTCTTCTGGGCCCACTGTGTTTCTGTAATCTTCCCAGGTTCCATGACCTCTAAATACTCACTCTTCTTAGAGGTTGGGGGCTTGCATGGCTCCTCCATGCAGTTCCCCAGTAAGTCTCAAATAAAAATATAAACTTAAACCACTTCTTCCCTCTTCAGGCTTCAATTTTCAGCTCCCTCCCACTATGCTATGCTCTCTTCCTCAGTCGAACCCTTTCCAGGGGCTCTCTGACTGAAAGTCTAGATCCTGCCCTTCTATCAAGACTAATCACCAGAGTTTGCTGTACCCCAGGAACTTCTCTGTGTCTCTCCCAGCCTCTTGCCACAGCTCTCTACTCAAGAGAGGGTGCCAAGAGTAGCTCTGCCCCTGAGCTTCTGCTTTCTTCTCCCCCTCTTGCCATGAAGTCCTTCACTAGCCTAGCAGGAGTCTTCCTACAGACCTCTCTATTACCCAGGGAGGGAATTCAAAATTATCTCCTTTCCACTGCCCACTCATCTGGCTTCTTCCCTTTATAGTAAACCCCAGATGGGATTAATCAGTAATTGGGCCTAGCCCATCCTCCAGGTGGACTGATTGTGCTCTGGCTCCAATTAACCCTTTCTATACCAGTGTGGGGTACATATCCCAGCATACTAACCTAAATCGCCCTTCTTGCAGTTTAAGCCGATCACTTCTTGACCTACCCTGGGTGGCCGTGAAGAACAATTGATCACCATCCTCTTTATAACAACCTTTTACATATTTGAAGATCATCAGATGTGGGCAGCTGGCTCTCTGGGATGGGGAGGTTGTTCCATGAATGGGTGGGGGACAGCATGGAACAAAGAAGTGGGCATGAAGGAGGCATCAAGGCTTGCTGAAGGAGTGAAAGGGGATGTGATGGAGATGACATCTGTGCCGTGGGACAAGGCATAGTTTTAAAGGACCTGGAAGGCAAGTACAAGACATTTAAACTTAGGGGAGCCAGTCAAGATATTCAAAGAGGGGTGTGATATGATTGGACTGATGGGCAAGGAGCCTAGTTTATCATGAGGAATGAGAGAAGAGGTTTAGACTGGAGAAACATTCCTTAGATCAGTGACAGAATTTATGACCACCACAATCCCACGTACGTAGACTAGCATGCTCTGTAATTGAAATAACCTTCCATTGATGAAAAGATGCTGGGAGAGCAGCAGAACTGGGCTGACTTCTGTCTCCCAAGATGCAGAACCCTGAAAATGTTGGTCTCAGACTCTACTTTTATCTCACAGCTAACTCTACCTTTCCTATGTGTGCAACTTCTTATCAGACCAACTTGGGCAAGGCCCAAAGATTATTGAACTACTGATCGCTGACCAATGTCAATACATCTGAGGACAAAAAAAAAAAAAAAAAAAAGAAAAGAGGAGTCCCACAGTGAGGAAGCTGTTCTCTGCAGGGTTTAGGAATAAATAAACCCCAGCTGTTTCACTGACCTTCCTGGACACTGATGCTTCCCTCCTCCAAATGCCACAAAGCCGTCCAAGAAAGCATTCTTCTCTAAATTTGCCTCTTTCCAACGATCCTGTGGGAAGAAAACATTTTTTTTCCAAATCAGCCTTGTATAAATAAGCTTAACATTTTTCCAGGCTAAAAATGACCGGGACAGCTAATCCTGGCATATAAAGCTCCCTTCAACCTGTTAAGATTACTTGACCACTGTGTTGCTAGCATATGGATTTGTAAACAAGGTAATTTAGTCAAGCCCATTTAAGACAGGAATTTAGGGCCAGATTGACAAAGACATTTAGGCCCCTAAAGGAGCAGGAAGGTGCCAAGTAGGATTTAGGCACTTAGGTGCTTTTGACAATCCAACTAGGCACCTTACCTGCATGTTTAGGCACCTAAGTGCCTTTAAATCTAGCCCTTACCTCACTGAAGCAAGCTGATTCAGAGTGAAGGCTCACACTTTGTCCTTAGTTCTCCCTGAATTGCAAGGTAATACCAGGCAATGCAAATTTAATTATGCATAGGATCTTTCATACAAGCATCTTTCATACATGCATCCAACGAAGTGGGTATTCACCCACGAAAGCTTATGCTCCAATACGTCTGTTAGTCTATAAGGTGTGTGGCAAGATGGCCGATGTTCATATGGTGGGTCCTGTGCTTTTCTTGGGGAGGGGCTAAGATGCCACCCTTTGCCCCTGCTCTTGGGTGCTGAGGACCCCGCTACTAGCCCAGGAAAGTGGTAGAGAAGGGAAGCGGGGGAGGGGTCTGGGTTTGCTCCTTCCTCTGAGTCCCAGCCCCTCTCAACCCCTGCGGGTTTCTTACCCTTGTCCCCCTTAGGTGGGGTTACCCTTGGTCCTTAGATGCTGGGGGGAAGGGAATCTCCCTCTCCTGCTGTGGCAGGGTCTCCTTTACTTCAGTTCTCAGGTCTTCCAAATCTCTCAACACACCTCCAAGCTCCAGTCCTCTCTCCTTCCTCTACCCTTGACTGCCTGAAGCAGGGTTTTTTTCCTTCAGTTCCTGACAAGTGCTCCCATTAACCTGTAGCAACCCTCCCTAGTCTACAGGGAACCACGCCTTAATTAGCCTAGGGCTTATATATTTCCCCTTGACCATTCTACCACTGCTCCCTGGCCTCCCTGTATCACAGGACTCTTTGCCACTTTTACAGATCCAGACTAACATGGCTACCCCTCTGATACTTTCATCCTGTCTTCTAAGAGTCATGGACCAGAGCTCTCTGTAAGTTCAAAAGCTTGTCTCTCTCACAAACAGAAGCTGGTCCAATGAAAGATGCTACCTCACCCACCTTGTCTCTCTCATATTGGTGATAGGCAGTGGTCACAGCACACCAGCAGCCTAATTGATGCAAGTTCTTTGTAGGTACCATGGCAAAGGAGAGTTTTGAGGAGGGACTTGAAGACAATGCAGATGGGTAAAATACACAGAGATGAGGTATAAAACAGATGTCCAGTGGAGGAATCACTGGGCTCCAGACCAGGCTCAGTGCAAGTCAATGGGAGTCTTTTAATTGACTGACTTCAATGGGCTTTGGATCAAGTCCTATATGTATTTGCAATTTACCAGCAAGATACAATTTGCTACTTCAGAGTGGCGGTGATTACACAAAAATATTTTAAACATAAATATGTTCTTGAACTGGAGGATCTTGCTCATTCCAGCAGGTCCCTCTTCTTTGTGCATGCTTTCTTCCCCTATAAATACTAGGGCATTAATCCATATAGTGAGTATTCTAGGGATAGGATTAATATCTTCCTGAAAGCAACCTTAAAGGAAGATGCACTCAACAATATGTTTTGGATCTAATTACATGCAAAAAGGAGAAGAGAGAGCAAAATAAATACATCAAAAGAGGCAACTTACAGGTTTGAATGTTTCAGGGTCTGGAAAGTATTTTGGATTCCTGTGCACCCAATATGGAGACAACATCAGCATGTCACCTGCAGGGATGGTGAAAGTCTAAAAGCAAGAGAAACAATTCTGAAGTAAAGAAATAGATAATTGCAAGTTCAGTCTGCTCTCAAAACATATTATGAATGCTGCTGGTTCACCAAAAACAGAATGAAAGGCCTTGCTAGAGAGGAAGTGCAGCTGGTAAAGCACTATTGGGTGTATTAAGGATGTGATGCAAGGGGAAAATGGGTTTGCACCTTTTGTTGTTGTTGCTGCTTCTTTATTACATATAAGAAAGGCCTGAAGTGGTTTTTTAACATTAGATGTAACAGGAATGTTAAATCTGGTCTTCCCTGGTTCTTGCTGAAGGACTGTATTCAGAAGTGGATTGTAAACCTAGGTAGTCCTCTCATTAAGAGCTTGATCTGAAACCTAGTGAGATCCACAGAAACACTCCTGTTGAAGTCAAATGACCTTTGGATTATGTCCTGAATGGGTGGTAATGCCACTTCTTTACCCAAGATAGCTTTTCTCCCAAATGTTTGTTTAGGAGATTCCTGAGTATCCTGATTTAAATAAGGATTGGGGTTCCCTATGCCTAATTTATTATGTCCAGATACATTTGGGATGGTGACTTCTAGAAGGATTACAGTGTACTATGACAGCCTCATAAAAACAAACCTACCTGAATTTTTATTGGAGTCACCACTTTCTTAGTGATTGCACCTGGAGACCTTAGCCGTATGGCTTCCAAAGTGCACCATTTAATTAAGATAAGCTTCTTAAGGTCATCTTCAGATATTTCAATATTCTCTTTACCTGTTGCATTATAAGAAATAATAATGTATGAATAAGACAGTAAGAAGTACAAGATTTCACATGGGTTATGAGATTTCATCATGCACTGAAACATTTTGCTAGAGGACTTCTGGTAGAGTGCCTCTAGAATGTCTAGAATGCATTCCTCAAACAGTTTTATACTCTGGCTGGCTAAGCCACTTTGGTATTGTTTTAGCATGTAAGGGTTTCAAATATATCTGGTCAACAAGTTTCAGACTTGTGATAGCTCAACAAAAACTTGACAAAATGTTGATGAAAAATGGTAATTTTTGAGGTGTATGTAAAATTTTGACCAGTTCTAGTTTTAAACTGTGTTAAACGACGTATGTAGATGGATACTGAGACCTAGTGAATGAAACACTGAACTGGGCTTCAGCAGACCTTGGTTCTATTCTTAGCTCTGCAATGGGCCTGCTGGGTGACATTCGGCAAGTCACTTCACCACTCCGTGCCTCAGTTTCCCTATCTGCAAAATAGGGAGAATGATACTGACCTCCTTTGTAAAGCGCTTTGAGATCTGCTGATAAAAAGTGTTACAGAAGGTATTATTGCTGTGCAGAATCTCACTGAACCTATTTTTAAAACCCATTTAAATTCGCAGAACCTTAAATATGTTACATTTCTTACTGTCTAATCACATGACCCTGTTATCTGTGTGTTTCTGCTCCCCTACTCTTTCATTGTATCTGTGTTATGACCCTGACTTGCATTGTGTCACACTGAACTTAGATGGCATGCTCTTTGGGGCAGCAGCTTTGACTTGTTCTGTGGGGCATCCAAGCACAATTTTGGGCACTAAAAATAGTATTAATAATTAAGCACCTCAGTGCCCACCCTATTCTTTATTTTATTTCCTTAGGTTTGTTATATGTTCATAGAGTCCATTGTAAGACAATAACTTGGGTAAGTTATTGGATCTTACTTTTACATACTGTGTTAGGCTCACTAACTCTCAAGACAGTTTTAAAAATGGAAGCAGTTTATAAGGTGCCTATTGAAGGCAATGAAGCACGCTGCAGGAATGACAACATGAGATGATAAAACATGGAAAAAGGAAAGGCAGCCAGACCAAATGCACAGCAAGGCAACATCACAGAAATACTCTGTGGCCCAATGGCACACAATAACCTTCAGGAAAACCAGCCATACACAAAGGTTCCCATTGGGCACACACACAAAATAGGAAGAGAGACTTTGGCAAATGCTAAATAAATCAAACATGATGGCGGCATAAATAGTTCACAGTAAACAGACCAAAACAAGTAGGACTTGCAGCATGCCCTGGTCGCAGCCAACAATGAAGACAGGTAGACCTCCAATACAAGGGAGTTCCACAAGTAAATTTCCTTGACTAAGAAAATCCTGCTTTCCAGTTCTGAGTGAGTCAATGGAAGCAAGATCAGAGCAGTCTCAGCCCAAATACAACAGGGACACAAGGAATTTGCCTTCAGGAATGAGCACAGCCATTACAGGCAGATCTGTCCACCCTTCCATGGACTTGAGGAGAACGAGTGAGTAATGCTTCCTAAAAGACATGATTCTATATTAAACATGGGGCTTCGAGCCAGGATGTCCTGAATTCTCTCCGCTTCTCTGGCACTGGCCTTAGTAATGCTTCAAACATTATTTCCAGAAGTAACTCCACCGAAGTCAATGGAGTATAACCGTTTGAAACAGCTTTCAAGTCAGAATCAAGCCTTGTTCCTTTGACAAGAAAGCCCTTAGAAGATATGAGAGATTTCACCCAAATGTTAGGGCTGAGCCTGAAGAGCCAAATCCTTAGATCCTTGCTGAGTTCTTACTCAATTTTTATTTATTTCTTGCATTGACATCAACAGGTAGGTTTGCTTGAGTAAGGATGAGCAAATCCTGAGTAAAGATCTCAGGGTTTGGCCAGTTATTATTTGTATTGCAGTTATGCCTAGTAACCCCAATGCCTGGCCCTGTACAAATTCAGAACAGATTGTTATTTTTTAAATGTATATTCTAGAATTCGACAGTCACTTATTTCTGGTTTATTACCTGCTTTGCCGAAAACAGAAACGAGGTCCTCCATGATGTTCTTGTAAATAGAAGGGTGGGATAGTATAAATGCCAGAGTCCAAAATGCCACCTAAAGAAAGAGACTGAAAGAAGTTACCTCAGAATTATAGAGCTGTATTGTAAAAGTGTCAGGTCAGAAGCACAGGCTAGAGACACACCTGTCTGGGGTGATCTAGGTATACTTAGGGGGATGGGACTCAACCTCTCGAGGTCTCGTCCAGCCCTACGCCTATGATTCTAAGTCACAAAGCTCAAGTCCAGATCCAAACCACCCTAAGTTTTAAGGGGTATTTGGAGTGGGCCCCTCCCTCACGGAAAGCAGATGAGGATGACACTGTAGAACAATGTGACTTCTATTGATTCACGATGGACATGGAGAGTATGTGAAGGAGTTTCAAAAACTGCTAGTGGTCTGAGAGATTGCCAGAGGCCCTGGGATAATGAACCTGAGTCTCATCCCACTTACACCTTTGTCAGTCGGAAGTGGCTACTAAAGTCAGTGGAAAGCCAGTGCAAGAGAGTCAGGTGATTAGTGAGAATATAATGCTGAAATGCATTTGCAAACCAATGAACTGCAATTCAAGTTTTAAATGCAGGGAAGGGCAAAACACAGGCGCATGTGTCTCCTGTTGAAAAGCTTTACTTGTACAAAATGAATGTTTGTGCACAATTACCCAATTCCTTTTGTGGGTGTGTGATGACATGGGGTCACAGCGGTGTACCCCCTTTCAGTTAGGAGTGGCACCACACTTCCCTTCACCCAGCTTATAAACAAGACCACACAAATCTTTTTATCAAAGAGCACACCCTTTTCAAGGGTCGCACTTATTATTAACAAGAGCCATCAGCCTACGTAGGCGCTCACTCAGGCTATGTCTGCACTACCACTGATGTTGGTATGACTTACGTCACTCAGGGGTGGGAATAAGCCACCCCTCTGAGTGATGTAAGTTACTCCGACCTAAGCGACAGTGTGGACAGCGCTATATCAGCAGGAGAGCTTCTCCTGCTGCCGTAGCTATTGCTGCTCATTGGGGATGGATTAATTAAGCCAATGGGAGAGCTCTCTCCCAACAGCTTAACGCAGCTACACTAGGGAGCTTACAGAGGTGCAGCTGCATCGGTGTAGATGCTCCACTGTAAGCTCTCTAGTCTAGCCAGAGCCACAAATACACCTGGGGACAGTCATCATCGCAGGCCTAGTCCAAGTAGTGATCTCTGTTTCCTTCCTTCATGAGAGACTTCTTTCCTGCATCTGTAGCCAGCCTGTTTGTGGAACCCTTCCCAGTTCCTTCTCTAGGGGTAAGTCTACACTACAAAATTAAGTCGACCTAAGTTATGTCAACGTACACCCACCGCAGTAATTAACCCTTTTGCATATCCACACTGTGCTATTTGGGTCAGCGGTGTGCATCCTCCCCACGAGCGATTGCACCGATTTAACTGTCAGTGTGGGGCATTGTGGGTTGGCTTCTGAAAGGCAGCAACAGTTGATGTAAGTGTCTACGCTGACACTGTGTTGACCTAGCTATATTGACCTACGCACTACGCCTCTCGAGGAGGTGGAGTTATTAAGTCGATATAGTGGGCGAGTTACATCGGTGGATGCTGCATTGTAGTGTAGATGCTTACAGAGTTAGGTCAACATTAAATGCTTTATGTCAATCTAACACTGTAGAGTAGACTAGGCCTAGATTATTCCTTTTCAGTCTTTCCCTAAGCTCTTCTCCTTGGAGTGTGGCTGCATTAATTTAGCCTCTCACTCTCTCCCCTTAAACGGCTCTCTTCTCTGGAGTTGCGTCATGTTAATCAAATTGTCTTGTACACAGCTCTCTTCCCTGCAGCTGAGTTGTGGGATAGTCTATCGTAAGGCCTTTGTCAGCTGCTCCCTCAGCTGCCCCCTTCTCCTTAATTAGCCTTCAGGGCACTCAGCTGGACAGTGTTTCTCTGCCGATATCCCTGGTGTTTGCCCTGGAGGGAATAGGCAGTATATATGCTAGTGCCCCTCTCCCAGCTCATTCCCCGTTGGTTGGATGAGAGAGGAATCTTGGCTCACCCTCTCTGCAAAACTCCTGGCCCAGGGTCCTTAAATGTACAGTGATAGAATTTGCTTCCAAGCACGAATCGTTCCTAGGAGCTGTTGTATTAATTTAGATAGAATATATTGGCCAAAGGTGTAAACATAACCCAGTCATTGTACAACATTAAACAGCGCTAAATAAGGTCCGGGGTTTGGTATATAGAGACCTCAGCCTGCTTAACACCAGGACAAACATGCCATTTAAAAAATTAATGTTTTATTAGAGATACGGAGAAGAAGCAAAAACAGTTCAAGCACTTGAAATGTAAAATATACTGTAAGATTCATTTTAACAACATTTCTCATTCCCTTTAGCTGGAGAGAGTTTTAGGAGGAAAAGCCCCCTTTTTGACAGTCTCTTAGATGGTAGGTTTCAGAATAGCAGCCGTGTTAGTCTGTATTCGCAAAAAGAAAAGGAGTACTTGTGGCACCTTAGACACTAACCAATTTATTTGAGCATAAGCTAATAATAATCTAATTGCCTTCTATGACGAGATAACTGGTTCTGTGGATGAAGGGAAAGCAGTGGACGTGTTGTTCCTTACCTTTAGCAAAGCTTTTGACACTGTCTCCCACAGTATTCTTGCCAGCAAGTTAAAGAAGTATGGGCCGGATGAATGGACTATAAGGTGGATAGAAAGCTGGCTAGATTGTCGGGCTCAAAGGGTAGTGATCAATGTCTAGTTGGCAGCCAGTATCAAGTGGAGTGCCCCAAGGGTTGGTCCTGGGGCCGGTTTTGTTCAATATCTTCATAAATTATCTGGAGGATGGTGTGGATTGCACCCTCAGCAAGCTTGCAGATGACACTAAACTGGGAGGAGAGGTAGATAGGATACAGAGGGACCTAGACAAATTGGAGGATTGGGCCAAAAGAAATCGGATGAGGTTCAACAAGGACAAGTGCAGAGTCCTGCACCTAGGAAGGAAGAATCCAATGCACTGCTACAGACTAGGGACCGAATGGCTCGGCAGCAGTTCTGCAGAAAAGGACCTAGGGGTTACAGTGGACGAGAAGCTGGATATGAGTCACAGTGTGCCCTTGTTGCCAAGAAGGCCAATGGCATTTTGGGATGTATATGTAGGGGCATTGCCAGCAGATCGAGGGACGTGATCATTCCCCTGTATTCGACACTGGTGAGGCGTCATCTGGAGTACTGTGTCCAGTTTTAGGCCCCACACTACAAGAAGGCTGTGGAAAAATTGGAAAGTCCAGTGGAGGGCAACAAAAATGATTAGGGGACTGGAACACATGACTTAAAAGGAGTGGCTGAGGGAACTGGGGATGTTTAGTCTACGGAAGAGAAGAATGAGGGGAGATTTGATAGCTGTTTTCAACTACCTGAAAGGGGGTTCCAAAGAGGATGGCTCTAGACTGTTCTCAGTGGTAGCAGATGACAGAACAAGGAGTAATGGTCTCAAGTTGCAGTGAGGGAGGTGTAGGTTGGATATTAGGAAAAACTTTTTCACTAGGAGGGTGGTGAAACACTGGAATGCGTTACCTAGGGAGGTGGTGGAATCTCCTTCTTTAGAAGTTTTTAAGGTCAGGCTTGACAAAGCCCTGGCTGGGATGATTTAATTGGGGATCGGTCCTGCTTTGAGCAGGGGGTTGGACTCTATGACCTCCTGAGGTCCCTTCCAACCCTGATATTCTATGATTCTATGGTAAATTTGTAGGTCCAATTATCACAACAGACTGCTTTCTCTCCATGTCCCCCTTAGGTCCATATTTTATATATATTAGTTGCAGCATTTCCAAGGAACTGCTTCAATACAGACTGGAATGGAGGAGGATGCAAAGAGCCGACCCCATAGAGATGGGACCAAAGGTAGAAGAAGATAGAGAGGTAGATCCTTTCAAACCCTTAAAAGGCAATGCTACCTGTGCCTTTAAGTGGCAGACTACCCCATCACTGGGTGTAAATGCATTTTGTGGGAACAATGTTGTACCCAGCTGCGAAAATCTGCCCCGTATGTCTAATAAAAGGTCAGATAAGAAGCTGACAAAAGATTAAGGGCTGGATTGTGAACTCTTGTTGCCATTGTTGACGAGTTACTAACCTGAGTTACTAATCCCAATGATTTCCATGGGTCTACTTGGTTGGGTGAGTAACCCTAACAGTGGGAGTAAGAGCTCACAGTCTGGGTAAAATTCAGTCTCCTCCTCTGCTGAATACTTGCACGTTCCTCTTAAATGAGCCTTTTCCTGTTTCTACTTTAAACTATAAAAAGGAGTGTGAAATATACAGTGCCTACATTCACTCTAATTTCAGATACCCAGGCATTAAAATGAATTAGTATGCCATATGCTTTGCATGCAATTAGGTTTCAGCCACATAAATGGAAAAATGAGGTACCAAATTCCCACTAATGTTTATAAGATAGATAAGCCTAATAACTTAATAAGTAAGACCCCTGTATAGCACAAAAGCTTGTCTTTCTCACCAACAGAAGTTGCTCCCATAAAAGATACTACTTTACCCACCTTGTCTCTCTAATACAGGAGCAGGGCCGTGGCTCGTTGGGGGAGGGAGGAGATGGACACAGATGGGGTAAGGGGCCATAGCTGGGCGTGGGTCTGGGGCCGGGAACGGAGCCACAGTCAGCAGCCAAGGCTGGGGGCTGGTGCAGGGCTGGGAGTGGAGCTACACTGAGGCTGGGGCCGGGACCAGGTGCAGAGCTGGCAGCTGGGGACGCGACTGGGGCGGGACCAGAGCAGAGCTGGAGGCGGAGAGGGGCTAGGTGGCACTCCCTGCCCGTGCCCTGTGGGGACAGGCCTGGGCCCCATCGTGCCCCACTGGACATTCTTCCACGCCCCCCTGGGGGGAGCGTCCCATACTTTGGGGACCTCTGCTCTAATATCCTAGGACTGACATCTCTAAAATAATACTGCATATAATAATCTGCAGAGCATTACTCTAGTAAGTCATATCAGTATGGCAGTGTCATCAAAGAAATGTTTTAATTACCTGCAAAACAAAGTGAATTTGTGGACATGAAGTTTTAACTGATTATGCATGAAGTAGTTTATACTTTATGAGAAGGTGAAAATTCCCTGAAGTAATATGAAATCAAAAGCAGAGCTACTTCAAAACTAGAAGTATCTCTTCCCTTGCTGATTAAGCAGAAAGTCTGGTCTATATACAGATTTTGTACAGGTATCTATCTCAGTTGGAGGTGAGATTTATTTACTGATATAGTTAAACCAGAATAGCCCTGAAGATGGAGGCAGTTATACTAGTAAAAAAAAGTGCCTTATAATAGTATGGCTTATTCCTCTTACAGGAAGAGGAATGTCCGTATAAAGCACTTTTATACAGATATAAGTGCATCTATGGCAGGGTGGAGTGTACCAGTATAACTATACCAGTCTAGTTAAAGTGGTACAACTCTAGTGTGGACAAGGCCTAAAAATCCCATCTGAAGAGCTTACTCACAATAAGGCAGTTTTTAATAAGTCTATAGGATGTTGGTCCCAGGATACTAGAGAGGCAAGGTGGGTGAGGTAATATTTTTTATTGGACCAACTTCTGTTGGTGGAAGATACAAACTTTCAAGCTACACAGAGCTCTTCTTCAGGCATGGGGGAAGGAAATCACAGCATCTGAGCTAAATATAAGGTGGGACAGATTGTTAAGCATAAGGGGTAGTGCATGTTGGAGGTGGTCCCTTGAAATGAAGTGCGAAATTGAGGGCTAGATGTTATGCATAAGGGGTTTGAATTGGGCAATTAAGGGTAGCGGGCGGTGTGGTGTGTTACAAAATTGTTTTAATGAGCCATAAAAGCAGCATCCCTGTTGAGTCCATAGTTTTTGGTGTCTTGCAGAGTTATGAATTTAAGTTCCTAGGCTCACCTTTTGAAGGTGTGTGGTGGGGTGTACAACCCCCACACTGGTGAGAAAATGGTTAAGGAGCAGCTCTGGGCCCAGAAAGCGTCACAATGAAGGCTGAGTTCAAAAGGGAGCAGCTTAGCTCAGTCAGGGTGGATGGAGCAGGGGAGCAGTTGTGTGTTTCAGGCTCCTACTGAGAACCCGCCAAGGCCCCATGCAGCGGGACCCAGGCCTCATCACCAGACCACCTGAGGCCTTTCAATTGGAGAGGTTGATGATGAAGAGATGCAATTGCAAGAGCAAGACCGATTGAACCACGGACAGAGAGGGCTCTAGGGAGGACTCAGCGGCTCCCAGTGATGCCAACAGAGAAACAGAAGCTAGGGTAGGAAGTGGCCCAAGGAGCACCCTAACCCCTAGGCCAAACATTTTGAATTATTGTTTCACTGGGCCCTGGATTGGAACCTGGTGGAGCAGGGGTGGCCTGGGTTCCCCTACCCCTGGCTATTGATGCTCACCACTGGGCAGCATAACCCAGAGTACTGCCACCAGGCAGTGCTGCCAGGACTGGTACTGAACTACCCCCTACCCCACAACAAGGTGTTGTGCAGGTTTCCTTTGAGGACGAGTATTGAAAAAAAAAAATCAGATATGGAGTTATCTGGTCCAATCAAAGAGGAAAGAAAGTGTTCCTGCAGCCATCATACTTACAGGCATAGCATTTGCTTGCGAGGCCCAGAGCAATAAGAGAGCATAATTGGGAGCTAAATGTTTTCCATGCAAGTTATCCAGGAGATGCTGCAGCAGTGTCTGTTATAAGTAAAAGCATAAATATACACACACACATTAATGTCTTAGGGTACGATTTTCTAAAAATTGGGTAGATGCTTCCACCTCTGCAGAGCCACACTTGGTCAGAAGGGGGCACTACAGGGCAGGTATTCTCTTTGCCATAAGGCCTAGAGTAAGGTTGCTAGATCCTCTGAAGCCTGGCTTCCCCACATGGATAATCCTAAAGTTTGAGATTTTTTTCAGGGCAAGTCCTCTGTGTGTCCCCCAAACCGCTCTGAGGCCCACTTTTGCTTCATCCAAAGTGGATTCCCACACTCCTTTGTCTCAATCCCCTAGTAGTCAGGGCTCATCCCTCCATAACACAGTATCTTTAAGAGTCTGGGCTTTCCCCAGTTTCCAAGGGGTCCTATGCAGTGTAGCAGACCTAACACTCATGACAAGCATGGAATAGTCATCTTATGTCGCCCTGTTTCCCACAATCCAGGCATACAGTTGGGCAGACTCCATACCACTTTCCCTTTCTGTCTCTGGGGTGGATGAAGGAAAAGCAAGGCTTCTGTGGTAGTAAGTTGTAGGGAAATGGAACACACAGATTTACCTTGGTATTGCTCTCTGACGGATTGGCTCTCTCAGCGTCTGCTACCACTTTTTCTAACACTTTTAGAAGCCATTTTTTGGATTTAGACCACTTTCTGTGAAGAAAAAAAAATAGGAATGATTTGAAATGCATTTGGGGAAACAATTCAGGCAGCACAGCGCAACATCACTTTCACGGAAGAGGACTCCTCGCTTTCTCTCCAAGGCTTCTCCGAGCACCTCGGCACTCTTCCTTTGAGGGACAGACGTACCAAGCTGATTTTTCAGTACTGTTGAGTCAACATCAGCAGCGGCTGCTCAGCAACTCTGAAACCCACAATAGCTAAACACATGATCTGATGGCTAGAAGAGAGACCTGACACTCAGCACTCTTAGATTTTCCTGCCAGCTCTGCTACTGGTTTCCTGTGTGACCTTGGACAGGTTACTTAGGCCAAATTTTTCCAAAAGTAACCATTAACTTTGGGTGTCTCAGTCATTGGGTGTCCAATCTGAGAAAACAAGGTCTGATTTTCAGAGCTACTGAGCACTCACAGCTCTCATCTGAAGGCAATGAGGTCTGTGAGTGCTTACAACTAAAAATAAGGCCCAAGATGCCTCAGGTTGGGCACAAAATACTGAAGTGCTGGCCCAAGAGAATAAAATGACAGGATGGGACATCTTTTACAAAATCAGCACATAGGACCTGATTTTCCTCATGCAGTGGTGTAATTCCATTGACTTTAGTGGAGTTATCCAAGTTTTACACCAATATACGTTAGAGGAGAATCAGGAGCCTAATTTTTAAGGGACAAAATTTAAAGCCCAACTAACACTGCATATGACCAAGATGGAGTCAAAGGCAGAACATTGGTTTCCGAGGAAATGCTGCTAGGGTTACCAGGATAAGACACTTCTAATAGGTTTGCAAGACTTGCCCCATTCCCCCACCCGCTCCGTTACCTCATAAAATACTCAGGCATCTGGGACCCATATTCAAAATCCTCATCATACTTCTGAAAATGCTCTTCAAACTCCTTGATGTCACTCTTGTTTGTTGGACAGACGTCTTTTCCAAATAAGATATTTACGGTTGCTGGATACATGACAGATCTGTAACAGAAGCACTGCAGCATTAGGCCAATGGGAAGCTGTTCTAGCATCTTGCCAGGCCTGTTTGATTACCAACAGAAAAATAACTCTTTGGGCCTAACAGTCGAACCTTAACTCATGCTGGGATGAAATTCTCCCCTGTGTAGAGGGGCCAGCAGGACTTAAGCCCTCAACACAGAGTTTAAGTGGGACCTATGTGATGAATAGCCCTTGCACAAGCCCTCAGCTTGTGGTCAAATTTTACCAGTTAGTGAGCACTTACTCTACCAAGTAGCCGCAGGATGGCCCTGTCCTTTGGAATACCCTCTCCCCACCCCCATTATCCATCAGTCTGATTCCAAATGAGCTTCCATGCTAGGACTTCCCCAGTTGGTGGCTGCACCAGAATCCCTTCTCCTGGGTGATACCCACAACAGGGGCTTAGAAATGTAGCCCCATCCTGAGTCCTGCTGGGCTAGGGGACGCTTCCCTCCCCCTCTCTGCCTCCCTCCCAGCCTGCTCATTTGTCTCCTTCCCCCTGCACACATCCCCAGCAGATTTCATTGGGAGTCATTAGATCTATGAATTCCTAACATCTTCTCCTGAGCTCCAGCTACTGTTTAATGACTATTAGAGACAGGGATGGTTTCATTTAGTTTGCCTTTCTAAGTATCATAAGCTACATTTCTCCTGCTGTCTCTCTAGAGCCATCTGCTGGCTCAATGCATTTCAGCTCCAGGTCAGCTATATAAACATTTTTCAACCAGTGTGTATTTCAGTTTTTTCAGCCCCCATTTTATAACCAACCAATACCAAACAAAAGGCACATAATAAAAGTGTACAACACAAGATTTATTAGATTCCCCTTTCTGTAGTTGATTATCTTAGTTATGACGTGTCAAGGTTCCTTCCCCACTCTGAACTCTAAGGTACAGATGTGGGGACCTGCATGCAAGACCCCCCAAGCTTATTCTTACCAGCTTAGGTTAAAACTTTCCCAAGGTACAAACTTTGCCTTGTCCTTGAACTGTATGCTGCCACCACCAAGCGTTTTAAACAAAGAACAGGGAAAGAGCCCACTTGAAGACATCTTCCCCCAAAATATCCCCCCAAGCCCTACACCCCCTTTTCTGAGGAACGCTTGATAGTAATCCTCATCAATTTGTACAGGTGAACCACAGACCCAAACCCTTGGATCTTAAGAACAATGAAAAATCAATCAGGTTCTTAAAAGAAGAATTTTAATTAAAAAAAAGGTAAAAGAATCACCTCTGTAAAATCAGGATGGTAAATACCTTACAGGGTAATCAGATTCAAAACATAGAGAATCCCTCTAGGCAAAACCTTAAGTTACAAAAGACACAAAAACAGGAATATACATTCCATCCAGCACAGTTTATTTTACCAACCATTAAACAAAAGAAAATCTAATGCATTTTCTAGCTAGGTTTCAGAGTAGCAGCCGTGTTAGTCTGTATTCGCAAAAAAGAAAAGGAGTACTTGTGGCACCTTAGAGACTAACAAATTTATTTGAGCATAAGCTTTCGTGAGCTACAGCTCCTCAAATAAATTTGTTAGTCTTTAAGGTGCCACAAATACTCCTTTTCTATTTTCTAGCTAGATTACTTACTAACTTAACAGGAGTTGTAAGGCTTCATTCCTGATCTGTTCCCAGCAAAAACATCACACAAATAGACCAAACCCTTTCTTCCCCACCCCCCCTCCAGATTTGAAAGAATCTTGTCCCCCCATTGGCCATTTTGGGTCAGGTGCCTGCAGGGTTACCTTAGCTTCTTAATCCTTTACAGGTGAAAGGGTTTTGCCTCTGGCCAGGAGGGATTTTATAGCACTGTATACAGAAAAGTGGTTACCCTTCCCTTTATATTTATGACATGACCTAATTGGCTTAAGTTTTATGATAGGTCTGCACTGCACACCACTGGCAGGGGTGGGTATGTGTAGTTATAAGCCTGAGTGAAAAACAAGCCATTGCCACACTGCAGTGAGTAGCTACACACACCAGTGAAAGGCTCTGGAAGAGGGAGGCAGTGGGGAAATGCCTTTCCACACAGCTTCCTCTCTGCCAGAGTCTTTCCCTGCTGGCAGAATCTTTCCCTGAAACGGGGAAAGGCCCTGGCAGCTGCCTGTGGTGGGGAAAAGGAGGCAAAGGTGGGCAGATCCCAGAGCTTTCCCCCCACTGCCAGAGTCTTTCCCTGCTGCCTCCCCCATGCCAGAGCCTTTCCCCACTGCTGGAGCCTTTCCCTGGTGCTAAAAATAGGATACATAGCCACAGGGCTCAGGCATGTCTTTACTCATCTAAGCAGTGCTTCACCATCCATACAGCTATTTATACCCATGCTGGGGTGGAGGGAAGGAGAGCTGTACTCTACATGCCTCTCTAAGATTTGTGCAGAGCAGATGTACCTTGTGATAAATGGCATTGGATCTACAACAACTGAATGCCTCACCTTACAAATATGGTTCAGCTTCATTTCCACATAATCACAGGCCTACCAAAGTGTATATGAGCCGCACAACTGGGAAAAAGCGCTATGTTATCAACAGGTGAGAAGTGTACAGGTCTGCCCAGGCAAATATGGAATGAACTTCCCCAAGAATTGAGGTTCATCATAAACCTCATCACTTTCCACTCTGAGTGCAAGGTGCATTTCTTTTACCTTGCCTTCTCTAGTATAGCAACAGGTATATTTATATGAAAAAAAATAAAACCTCCCTCCCTACCAAAAAGACATTCCACTGCACACGCTTCTCCCTTGGGGAGAGGATGAGAGAACAAACACACATGACACATGTTAGTCATGTTGCTTAATGCACTATAAGAAGGTGCTTAGATACTGTGGTCATGAGTGCGGCATAAAAGTCTGTACAGAATATTAGATTGTCAGCCAGGTACTTCTTGCACACCTGGCATGAAATCCTGGCTCCACTGAAATCAATGGCAGAACTCTCATTGACCTCACTGGGGACAGGGTTTCACCCCGGATTTTTATGGGAATTGTTTAGTTCTGCCAAGGGGTGCATGAGCCAGTGCTTGCCAATATAACTTGAGAAACTTCCTAGACATGTGAATCCTTGACCTGGGGTCCCCTTGGCAAATACCTTGGTAAGTAGAGGAGGCTGTGCTTACCTTTTTTCAAAACTTGTAACAAACTTTTCTCCATGGCAGCCAGTCCCAGCCTCCACCCTCTCCAGACGCAAGGACTTTATGAGCTGCACCAGCCAGCTCTAAGTCACTGGGCACAGCGAGGCAATGAACGGCTTGCTCTGCATTCCTGGAGGAGTTTTTTTCTGGGATCCCACAGCCTGATCTCCACCTGCAGACTTTATAATACTGTCACTGCTGCAGCTACTATTTATTTAGCAAAAAACATGGACATCTGTTCAATAGAGCACTGATTATAAAAGTCACATACCTTATTAGATCACTGAGATTCTCCGTTCCTGCTGTGCCCAAGTAGTCCATGTGCTCATGTAATTCTTGACACAGAGTCCGAGCAAAAAGGTACAGGCGAGAGGTACCCATTTTTCCTTTCATCATGCTATAGAGTCTGCTATGGTTCAGATGAAAGATTTCTGCAGGAACTGAAGCTTTAAACACAAAAATGAGAGAAGGCGTAAATGTTTTGGAAACTAGCCAAGGTAAATTTTAAATGTAAAAAGTGTCTATTTTGTATATTACTTGTGACACTAGTTTCAGTTTACCGTAATCTTTCTCTCCATGAGTGAAATTCATACCCGTGAAGATTTTATTCCCACAGCCTGCATTTCTGACCTTGTAAAGGGATCAGCAGTGGTTAACACCCAGACCCCACTAAGTTTTATTTCTTTTGCTCAGTAGGGAACTTCCTCCTTCTGCCCTATAAAGCTTCAGTCTCTTGGAAATAAATATGCCAAACACTTCCCCTGATTTATGTGCCGAGCAATTCCAAAGGCACGTTTTGGAGCTTCGTGTTGAGAGCATACAGAATACCTGCTCCATCACCTGCACTGAGCACCTGCTAGGCTTGCGGGGGAAGGGGTGCTGTGAGGGGGGAATTCAAGGAGTTACTGTTAATCTATAAAGCTGTAAGTGGTCTGGGATCTAAGTGTTTATTGTTCAACAGTCCCCCTCACTCTCTCCTCTGCAGCAGGTGCCGCTGTGCACTCTGGGAAGCCATTCCCCTTGGTCTCAGCCCATGGGGACAGCAGCGCATTGAGATGAAGCCTGGTGGAGGTACAGGCGTGACACCACCATCACTGGGGCCCAGCTGAGAACAGGCCTGTAGGCATGAGCTCTAGCCAGCAGCCTCACTAAGGTGAGAGTAGTGGCTGAGTGCAGAGAACAGACTCCTGACTGGGTGTGGAGTGACAGGCATCATTTCTTCATTTTGATAATCTGGTCACTTTATTCAAGCCTTGTATTAAATAGCAGGTGTCATCACAGCAGGTCCCAGGACCCTACATGGAGCACCGTTTCTGTGGTGTGTGTGTGTGAAGGGGGGAGGGGGTGTTAAGCAATGTACGTGATTTTAAATACTGAGTGGCCCAAAAGGCAGCAAAAAACCCCCCAAACCCTGAAATGTATTATTTGGAAAAGAATCTCATGATTTTGAGGGGCCTGACTCATGATTTTGAAAGCTTGAGGTTGGGAATACTGGGATAGGTGATTAAACACCTGCGCAGGGAAAACTTTGGGAGGACTGTCACTTTGTCCAGTGGCACATTTTTGTTTTATGGCTAGCAAAGGCAGATTGCACAATAAGTATGTGGAGGTGGAAAATGCAGCCTGCAATAGACAGCTGCTGGCTGTACCATCTAAGCCTGGGGATTAGAGCTGCCCTATTTTGGTTCTCATCACTGCAAACATGCAAAACATCTCACCTTCTACCAACTCATTTCTCTCTCAACAATGAGAGAACTTACTCCTGTAGTCCACTTTCCATTTACTTAAAGGATGAGTGAATGGGATTTAATGTTGGCATAGCACACCAGCAAAGTGTGTCCTGCATTCTTCTCCACTGTCTGTTCTTCTAAAGAAGAACAGCTTACTATAGCTACCAGCTAACAGTTTCTCCTTTTGCTCAATTGGTAGAAGTCTGTCCTGTGGCTCTGATGCTCTTACAAGCTCCTACCACAAAAAAGCCCTGATACCTGGTTGGGGCTGTTAAGTTTTACTGCCACACAAACAACAATATGGGTTGTTGGTTCAAAAAAAAATCTACTGATGACATGTTCTGGGGTCATTATACATGTTCAGGGCCTTGGACAACAAATAGTTACATCTGTGTGTGACAGTTTGGGGAATATGTTGGTGTCAATTTATAAATTTCATTTAGTTTTGCGAGGACCATTTATGATTGTAACCTGCATTGTGGATTAGAATCCCCATTTTGTATATGACCCATTTTTGTGCCTGGCATGGAGCATCATTTTGAACTGGCATATGTGTAGCTTGCTCCAGATGTATAACAAAGCCAGAGAGGATGGGGTTGGGTAGTGACAGGACGGGTAGTGACATTTCTCAACCTCGGGAGAGCTAACACAAGAAGTGTCATCCAGCCAGCTCCAAAGGAATATGGACTTGTTAGTGACTCTTCTCTACTGTACACCCCTGTGAAAAAAATGTGTTGTGAATGTGAATTCAGCATGACTGGGGTATGAGCTTTCACACTAGAGGCTCATGACCAAGGCTGTTTGTAAGCAAGAAGGGTGCTGTGTGCATGGGGCTGGCCATGGCCAGCACCAAGAGGGAATGGCTGCCAGGGAGACAAGTGAGTCTCCACCTAGCCTGAACTCAGATAGACCCTTGGACACCCCTCGGACATAAATGGAGGGGTGAGACCAGCCCAAGGGACAGTTATGTTCAGGTGTTTGTTATTTTGCCTAGATCTGTAACTCTTCTGGGCTGTCCATGAGACAGGTGTGTGTGTGTTGTGTTGTCCATGAGTCAGGTGCATGTGAGAATGAGAGAGAGTGAAAGAGAGATTCCTTGCTTTCATGGTTACATGATTCCTGAAGGGTGCAACTGGAGAAACCAGAACTCATCCAGCCTGGTGGACTCTGGAGGGAACAGATCAAAGCTGCTGGGGTGCTCAGGAGGAATAGGGCACAGGTTCCAGTGTCAAGGTGGTTGGAGTGCAGGGTCCCACTGCCATGAGGAATGTCAGACGTGGGGTCTACACCTCAGGAGTGCCTCTGAGTGTCCCAGAACCGGGAACAGTGATCTATCACTACCCAGATCCAGGAATTTAGTGGCCCATGCAGGTGGATCTCCTCATGATAGACTGGTGTCTATCCAGAGAGCAGGACTGGCCCAGGCTATGACATTGTGTATTGCATTTGCCCCTTAACTTTATGCTTTAATTGTGGATTAAGATATGCATTTGAGACCTGATCCAAAGACCCATGGGCTATGGATCACATCTTTAACCTTGATGGGTGGCTAGATTAGCTTTCCTTTGAAACTGAGATATCCCTTACTTGTGCGCTGGACCGTTTGCTGCACCGCCTGCTCAAAATCTATGTCCTTGGATGTCAAAAATGCTTCAATCCCCTCTTCCTCGGTCACAAAAGTGAATCGGTTTCCCAGGGCAAACACTGTGAATATTGGCCCGTACTGCAAAAACAAGGAGGGAGTTAAAAAAATGAATGACTTTATTGCTAAGACATTTTATGGGAGACCATGGCTCTGATCCTGCAACAGGAATTGCACCAATACAACAGAAATGTTGAGAAGGTAGGGGGGAAAGAAAATAAAACCAAAGCGGGGGGTAGAGGGATGCAGCTTCACTATCTAAAATCCTTGTTCAGGAGCAAACAGACATGTAAATAAATTAGACTTGAATTCATAGATTTTAAGGTGAGAAGGGACCCTTGTGATCATCGCCTCTGACCAGCTGCATGGCACAAGCCACAGAATTTCACACACTGATTCCTGAACAGACAGAAGTGTGGTTCAGCTAACACATAGCTTCTAGAAAGATTCCCAGTCTTGATTTAAAGACTCCAAATGCCAGGAAAACGACTGCATCCTTTGGTAATCTGATCCAACAGTTATTACCCTCACTGTTAAAGAGTTCCATCTTATTTCCAATCTGAATTTTTATAACAAACTTCCAGACATTGGATCTTGTTATGCGTTTGTGCTAGATTAAAGAGCCGCCTAATATCAAATATGTTCTTCTTGTGTAGGTATTTAAAGACTACCTCGTATCAAAGACAAGGTTAAGTTAAATAGATTGAGGTCATTAAGCCTTTCATTGTTAAGATGTGTTTTCCATCCCACAAATCATTGTTGTAGCTTTTCTCTGAACTTAGCTTCTCTAACATCTCATATCTATTCAACTCAGAACTCACTACTGGAATCCAAACTCTCCCAACTGTTTGGAAGCTAGAGCATTATTTTTCACCAGTTTTTGGTCTTTGAATTTGATTTAGGCTGTAATTATTGTGTGGTCTGTTCTGCAGAGCGATCTTTGGGAGCATAAGTTTATGTTAGGGAGACAGGTAAAATGTTTTAACCAACACACTGACTTCTAGAGAGAAAGGATTGCCCAGTAGTTAGGGCCCTAGTCTAGTACCTGGGAGGACAGAGTTCAATCCTCATTGTGTCACAGATATCCCGTGTGACCCTGGACAAAACAGTCTCTGTGCCTCAGTTCCCCATCTGTAAAATGGGGATAATAGTTCTCCTCTGCTGGGATGTTGTGAGGATAAATACATTAAAGGATGCGTGGTGACCAGATTACTACGGTAATGGGGACTGTAGAAGCACATAAAATAGATTTTGCAAGAGAGCAGTAGCCACATGAATTCAGTGCTTGTGAGATACCAGACAGAGATCAAAGAAGCCCTCACTATCCATTGGAGTTGGTCATAACATTTTTTTTTGACAAAGAGTGGGTGGAAAGTGTAGGGAAGAGACCCCAATATTGATGCAAAATGATATTAGTAAAATTATTATAACTTATTTTTATAACGTTAAGTCATTACAAACATGTCTGTGCCTTTACTGAGTCTTAGGAGATACATATCCTTACTTCATAGGGTGCTTGGAGAAAAGTACCTCACCTGCATATATTTTTGTTTGTTTAATTATATGAAACATCCAAGCTAAGGAAATTCTTAGGAATTTTGTTGTCTGTCAATTTGACAAACTCCACAAGAGTCAAGGAAGATAACACTATATTTATACAAACCCTAAATTGCAGCTGTTGTAATTTCCATTTTACTTTAACACTCTATTCTTTGCTTTGATGCTCTGTTGTACAATGTTATAACCAACGTTTACTGCAATTTGTGTTTTGTGTAAAATATTGAATTGCAAATTGTGAACGCTCTAAGAAGTGCTGGATCAAAAGACGAACCAACCAACCACAGCATCTTATCACAGAACAGGACTGCGAAGGGGTCCACTCACGGCAAGTGCACTTCCTTGGGGGTGGGGCTTTTTGTCCCACCTGGCACCCCTTTCTGTCAGTTGCTCATGCTGTAGCCTCCCCCTCCCCACCCAGTGACTCGAAGTTCTCTCTCTTTGTGACTTGGCCCTCTGGAGACTATATAAGCCCCCCCCTTCCAGGGTAACAAAGTCTCACTGGAACGCCGGGAGGAACTGCAGCAGCTGTGGGCTCCTTTACACACACACACACACGCACACGTCACTCTGCTGGTGACGGAGGGTGGGGGCGGAGAGAAGCCCTGGGCTGGTGAGCCTAGAGGAGTGTGGGGGAAGGTCCAGAGAGGAGAGGAGCCAGCGCTAGTGAAGTGGAGCACCGAGCTGGGCCAGCGGGGACCCTGCTAAGCGTGGGCCTGCCACCATTATAAACCCAGCGCTGTGCGCCGCAGCAGATCTGGGGTCGGGGGTGAGGCATCTCTCCCTGCCGCAGCCCCGACCACCTGCGCGGTGTTTCATAGGCTGCTGCGCGGCCACACAGCTTGGAGGGAACTTAGATCTACACCGCAAATCAAACACCCGCGGCTGGCCTGTGTCAGCTGACTCAGGGTCGTGGGTCTCAGGCTGCGGGGCTGTAAAATTGCCATGTAGATGTTCAGCCTCAGGCCGGGGCACGAGCTCTCGGCCCTGTCTGGGGGTGGGTCTCAGAGCCCAGTCTCCAGCCCGAACCCAAATGTCTACACGGCAATAAAACAGCCCTGCAAACCCGAGTGAGCTGACATGGGCCAGCATATCGTACAAGTTGTTTCTGAGGCAGAACCAAAAGCTTGGCATCCGTAGTTTATAACTGGTCTTATCAATGTTCTAAACATCCTCCTCCTCATCATCAATACCTTCTTATCTGCATGCCATTTGTAGGGTTGCCAACTTACTAATTGCACAAAACTGAAAACCCTATCCCTGCCCCTTCCCCAATGCCCTGCCCCCGCTCACTACAGTCCCCCTCCCTCGGTGGCTCGCTCTCCCCCACCCTCACTCACTTTCACTGGGCTGGGGCAGAGGGTTGGGGTGTGGGAGGGCTCTCACTGGGGGTGCAAAAAGGAGTCATACATAAGGATGTGTTAATAGAACCATAAAACTAGGCAGTAAAGTAGATTCTTTTGTAATCACTGTAAAATCTTCCTCCTGGATGCCTTAAGAAAAACGTTTATAGTTGAGAAATATTTTATAGAAAACCTTGGTTTATTTTGTAAGTGTAGAGATGGCATGACCTCGTAAAACGCTTACTGAATGGAAATCTTCTAATGTAATTTCCTAATATAATTGCTACCATTGTAAATGGTAAAATGCTTGATGGACCACCATGAATCTAATGTTCTTGATAACCTAATTACTAATATAAGAGGCCATTTAAATAGAGTGTACTTATATTATTGGGGAATTAATTATTTAGCTAGGCACAGCATCTTCAGTGCCCCCCCCCCCGTGGCCCTGCCTCAAGCCCAAGCCACCCCCCCCCATGTGGCCCTGTGACCTCAGCAGCCCTGTGTGGCCAACTTTACCTCCAAGACGGTTGCTGTGACTTTTCACTTGAGGAAAAAACGCACCAGCCACCCGCCTACTAGCTGTTTGCAGCTGCCCACCTGACCAGTCAGCCTCAGCCAGTTCAGGCTGTTCTGGTGCCACAGCGGTCTCTGGGAGGCAAAAGGCAGAACTGCAGCAGATTTTCTGCAGGGGAAAAAAAGTCTGCCTCCCTCGGACAAGAATTCTGTGCATGCTGCAAACGTCACCTAAGGGGAGGGAGGGCAGCATGTCCAGGTTTAACGTTTCAGGGTTATTGTATGAAAGGGTTTGGCAGATGTACAGTCTGTAACCATGTAACTAGATTTTACAGAATTTTCTATGTCAGAATACCTCGCTGATTAGGGTGGGGGAAAGATCATTTTTATGATTAAAATGATGGTGTTGTCCTTGATACTTGAATTAGTTGGACTATATAGTTAGTGTACTGCCAAACAAACTTTGTTTCATCAAATACCATACTGGTGCTTTTACCCTTTACCCCATGCTGCTTATCTAATCTAAGGGTGACATCCTGGTCACTGAGGTCAATGGTAAAATTCCTGCCAGCCTGGGTTTTCTCATTTGTATCTGCATTTTTGGGTCTTGATCCATCCATTAGCATCAATGGGAGACACTCCTGTTGATTTCCATGGCCCATTGACTTTCATGGGCTCTGGATCAGGCCCTTAGATTGTAAATTATTAAAGAGAGGGGCAGTGTTTAATCTGCATGCCTTTTATGGCATCCAGAGCATGTTGCTGACACTTGTAATAATCTGTGACTTGCCAAGATTGCAATTTTATGTATTACAATTGCAACATGCGCTGGGCATTAGCAGGAATAGTTACACTGGATCGCCCTCCTTGCTGATCATAATACCTCTGCTCTAGACCTTTTGGTGAATGTGAGCCACAGGGGAGGGAGGTTGAGGTAGCCTCTCGTTCTTTTAAAATTTCAGAAAAGGTACAAAGGCTGACATCCCCTGGTCCCATTTAGGTCAATGGTAAAATTCCCATTCACTTCAGTGCAACCAGGTGTTCACCCAGAATCCCTCTGTGATAGGGTGCAGGGGCCCTAGTGGCCACGGGGTTAACTTTGGCTCCGTTGCCCTTCCTCTGACACCGGTTTCCATGGGTAAGGTTGTAAGAGAAGTTTTCTGTGAGAGAATGCTGTTGGGCTGTATATCAAGAGGTCAGAGGTCATGGCTGAACCCCCAGCTTGGGAATTTTCTCTTTAATTTCTTATGAACACTATCCCCCGAGGGAAAACAATCTTACTGACTAAACCAGGGGTGTTTTCTGCTGAGTCGTTCCACCATTTTCCATCTCTCCTTTTATGTCCTTCTCAGGGGGAATGACCAATGAATAAGAAACCACCACATAAAAGCTTTGATTTGCTCTCCCATTTCCCATAGCTATGTCCTTTACAAAAGAGATCCATCACCACCAGACGTGGCTAGGGACAATCCTAAACAAACTGGAGCTCTGGAGGTACCCGCGTCTGAGCTGCCAGAAGAAGGGGTGTGCTATGCAAGGATGTTTGGCTGACTCAGCTGGGTAATGAACAGACAGATCACCTGAGCTGCCTGGAATGAGACAGGGCCTCTGTGAGCTTAAGTGCAGTTATGAGCTCTCTAGGCCTTGCACTGGTCTGGGTGAATG